CAATCCAAGTACGCGCGGCGCCGCGGTCTGGATCATAGCTTTTGGCCGTTTTCCAGATCTCGAGCAAGACATCATGGGTGATATCCTCGGCCTCGGGACGCGACTTCATAAACTTGAGCGCGATCCCCAAGAGAGAAGACGACCACCTTTGATAAAGTATCCGAAGGGCTTCTTGTTCCCCGTCAGCGATCCTGGCGAGGACTTCTTCGTCGCTGATTTCGATGTGACTCTCCACCATCTCTCTACTCTGTGAATCGACCCGGAATCATCCCTGATCACCATACGGGCCAACTGGTCAGGAGGCTCACACACCATTCGCCAGGGGGGTAAGAGCGGCGAGGATGGATGAGTACGCTTGCGTGCCTGGAGTGATAATGGATCGCGCGCCCCCGATCAAGCGACCGCCTCATCATGAATGCTCAGAGCCTCTTTGATTTCCTCGCGTTCGCCCTTCTTTAACCCCAAAACGACGCGGTCATAAGAGTGCCTCACGAGCTCGAGGACGACATCCGCCGGGATGCTCCCATCGAGCGTGAGCGTGTTCCAGTGCTTCTTGTTCATGTGATACCCGGGCGCGATCCCATCATACTGCTCTCGCAACTCGATCGCACGATCCGGTTCACACTTGAGGTTCATCGTACTCGGATACGCCTCCAGGCTCATCAGACAAAACATCTTGTCCTTGACCTTGAAGACGAGGTGGTCCTCTCCGAAAGGATAGCCTTCGCTGACCTCCGGGAGGAGCAGACAATAGTCACGGACGTCTTCGAGTTCGATCATGGTGCTCTTGCTCCTTGAAACGTGACCTCACCCTCATGGCGAGGTCTGGACTCTATAACAAGCAGACAGAACCACAACCCCCGCGCGAAGTCTCCTCCGGATATTGAAATGCACGAAGACGTCGCGAAGATTCAATGCGGTTCCCCCGTATGCCTGAAAGGCAGAGGTGGCGAACGCGAGATTTTGGTCGTGCTTTCTCATCTGCGCGGCGCTATGACTGGAAGAGCCAATCACCTGAATTTTGGACCACGAACGACGCGATGAAGTTCTTTGCAACGATAGCCAAAAACCTCGAGCCCCTGCTTGTCGAAGAGCTGGTCTCGCTGGGAGCCTCCAACGTCAAGCAAGCCGCCGGAGGTGCCCACTTCGAGGGAACGCTCCGCGATGGATACAAGGCCTGCCTCTGGTCTCGCCTCGCGAACGCCATCCTCATGCCGGTGCACACCTGCGAGGCGCCAACCCCCGAGGCGCTCTACGATGGCGTGCGTCAGGTGCGCTGGTACAAGCACATGAGCGTCGATGGGACGCTGGCGGTGGACTTCACCTCGTCGGGGTCTCAGATCACGCACACGCACTACGGCGCGCTCAAGGTCAAGGACGCCATCGTCGACCAGTTTCGAGACAAGTACAAACGCCGCCCTTCGGTCGACACGAGCAACCCCGACCTGCGCATCAACGTGCACGTGCGAAAGGACGTCGCCACGATCAGCATCGACCTCTCGGGAGCTTCTCTCCACCGACGCGGTTGGCGCATCGAGCAGGGCCCGGCGCCGCTCAAAGAGAACGTCGCCGCGGCGATCCTCTGGCGCGCGGGGTGGCCCGAGATGGCCGCGCAAGGCGCGCCATTTCTCGACCCGATGTGCGGCTCGGGGACCTTCCCCATCGAAGCGTGGATGATGGCCGCGGGGATCGCGCCAGGGTTGTTCCGACGCGACAAGTTCGGCTTCGAGACATGGCGTCGCCACGACGAAGAGATGTGGCAGGAGGTCCTGGAGGAAGCAAAGCGCATGCACGAGGATGGGCTCCAAAAAGAGCTCCCGCATATCATTGGCTACGACAAGGCTCACAACATCATTCGCAGCGCGCGCGAGAACGCACACGCCTGCGGCGCGAAACACCATATCCGCCTATCACAACGCGAGGTCCGAGAGGTTCGCGCTGGCGACACTCCAGGGCTGATTTGTGTGAACCCACCTTACGGGGAGCGCCTCGAGGATGAACCGGGGGCGATGCTCGCGCACGAGCGCCTCGGCGAAACTTTGATTGAAAGTTTCTTCGACTGGCGCGTCTATCTACTGACGGGCAGCAAGGAGCTTGGATTCGCCATCCCCTTGCGTGCGATCAAACGCTACACTGTTTACAATGGACCGCTCGAGTGCAGCCTGCTCCACTTCGAGGTCAAGGCCGACAGGATCTACATCCCGAAAGAAGAGGATTGATCCTCCTCCAGCGGGAGCAAAGTCCGGCCAACATTCAACGCGCACGAGGAGAGACCGATGATTCGATTGATCGCAGGAGCCGCCCTCCTGCTGACTGGTTTTATCTGGATCGCAGCCAGTGACTCGGGCACCCCCCAAGATATCGCGCTCGCCGGATACGTGGTCTTCTTCACCGGGCTCTTCCATTGCCTGCCGCGCATCTGGGATTGGGGTGAAGAGGTCGGCCCGATCCGCGCGGTGCTGCGCGCGCTGTGGGCGCTCGTCAGCTCCGTCACGGCGCTCATGGGGGTCGGGTTGATGATTCTTGCCGCCATCGACATCACCGCCATCGGAATCCCGATGGCGATCCTCGAGGTCTTTGTCGGCGGCACCTCGCTCATCGCGAGCGCCGACCAGCTCCACCGCATCTGGACCTCACGCGACAAGCAAATCAGTGAAAAGCGCGCATCATCCAGCGAGCAAGAGGACGCCTCGAACCTGATCTTGCGCGCGGCAAAGTCGCACCAGGGCAGGCTGACGGCCGCTGAAATCGCGGCCGCGACGAACCTCCACTACAAGGTCGCGGCCAAACACCTCGAGGAGATGGCCGAGGATGGTCTGTGCGAAGCGTGCGTTGGCCAGACGGGGACGACGTTTTACTACTTCGCCGAGTTTGCCAACCCCAACGGCAAGCGAGACATCCTTGAGGATGACGTGATCTTCGATCACATCTCAGAGCAAAAAGAGCCGCGCCAAAGCGCGGCTCATCACGAGGTTCACGCGCCAGCCTCGCAGAGGCGAGGCGGCGAGTGAGCGGTTGTTCTTAACTGATCGCGCTCACTGGAGGCGAGAGTCGACCATCGGCTTGAACGCCTCGAACGCGGTCGGGTTCGGGACGCGCTCGCCATTGATGAACATCGTCGGGGTGCCCTGGACGTAAACCTGGCCACCGAGCGCCATATCCGCATCCACAGCGGCCTTGTACTTACCCGAGTCGAGCGCGGCCTTGAACTTGGCCATATCCAGACCAGCTTCCTGCGCGTACTTCTCGAGATCTGCTCTGGAGAGCGCCTTCTGGTTCTTGAAGACGAGGTCGTGGAACTCCCAGAACTTGCCCTGCTCTTTTGCCGCGAGCGATGCCTGCGCGGTCAGGTGCGCGTCCTTGTGGAAGGAGAGCGGGAAGTGGCGGAAGACCACGCGGACGCTCTTTCCTTTGTACTGCTCCTTGAGCTGGTCGACAGCCTGCGCGGCGCGCGTGCAGTAAGGACACTGGAAATCGGAGAACTCGACGATGGTGACCTTGGCGTCAGCAGGACCCCAGCTCGCCGCGTCAGCGCCCTCGATCTTGGCGCGAAGTTCGGCGGTGAGAGGCTTGTTCTTCTCCTCCTCGGCCTTGAGCTCGGCGAGGACCTTGTCGTACTGACCGAGCATCGCCACGCACTGCTCTGGTGGGAACATCGGCGTGCGCTCGCGAACCATCTTGCAGGTCGGGGTGTCCGGGCCGAGGTCAGCGCAAAGGCGCTTCTCGAGCTCCTTACACTTCTTGCCCATCTCGGCCACCTGCTTCTTGGTGTACTCGAGATCCTTGAGGCCAGCCTCACAGGCAGCCGGAGGCATCAAGCCAGAGACCACGCCCATCGATTGACACGCCTGGGACTGCGCGCCCGCGGCCTCGCAGAAGGACTTCTGGTACTTCTCGCACGCCGCGGTGTCGCCAGCGGGGGCGTCCGCCTTGGCGGTCGTGTCAGTAGGAGCATCGGCCTCGGGCGTCTTTGCCTTCTTGGCGGGTTGCTGACAGCCGAGCGAGAGCGCGACCGCGCCCATGGCGAGCACCCCTGCAAACCAACGAGTGCGGGATGTTGTATGGTAACTCATATTCTATTTCCTCATTGTCTCGAGAGCATGTTGTGTGAACCCAGGGGTTCAGGTATCGGCGCAGCATACTTGTGAAGTGGCCGACAAACAAAGTCTATTTCGCATCAGTTTTTCGGGCGCCGAGTTTGTTGCGGATGAGATAATCCAGGCTAAAGCGGCCCGACCCCATCAACAGAATCCCGAGCGAAAACGTGCCGTAGAGCAACCCCATCTCTTGTTTCTTGAAGGGGTCCTCGCCGTGGCGAATGAACACGGCAACGAGCATCGTCTGTAAGAGAAAGAACGCCGCAGGTCGGCTGGTTAGCCCGATGGCGATAAGAAATCCGCCAGCGAACTCGGCGAGCCCGGCAGACCACGCGAAAAATTCGGGCAGTGGAAAGCCCATCGATTCGACGCCAGCGATGAAGCCATCAGCTGGCGGGACTTTCTTTGCCCCGTGCGCGAACGCCATCGTCAACCCGAAGATCAGGCGCATCAAGAGCAAGCCGATGTCTCCTGCGCGAGCGCTGGCGCCCTGCCCTCCGAATAATATCGCGACTGCTTTTTGCTTCATTCAAGCTCCTTCATCTCATCATCCGAGGCAGCATACTTGGCCACGTCGCTGAAATTGTCTATGACTGGTGATGTGTTTTCGATTCAAGAGGTCTGACAAACGCCACACGGCGCTCCTGTGCGGGAGTCAATTCAGGCAGGAGGCTCGAGATGTTCGATCGTCGAAAATTTCTCTCGTGGACGCTGCTCTCACCCGCCTGCTTGATCGTGGGATGTGAGGTTCCAACGGTAGCCGATCCAAACCTCGCGCAAGCCAACATCGCAGGAGGCAACGCGACTGGTGGTACGGGTGCGCGCAAGCCAAGACCCAAACGCACAACACCACAACTACCCCCGCCCACCAATTCCATCCCGGCGCTCGGAAGTAAGCTCGAGATGGACAACGCGGAGTGGAAGAAGCGGCTGTCGGAGTTGCAGTACAAGATCTTGCGAGAAGCGGACACCGAAGACCCGTGGACCGGAGCATACCTCAAGGTCAAGACAGCGGGCGTGTATCACTGCGCCGCCTGTAACAACCCACTGTTCGCGTCGGGCACGAAGTTCAACTCGAAGACCGGGTGGCCTTCGTTCTGGCAACCCGTGCATCCCGAGCGCGTGATCACGCGCCCGGACCCTCGCTACAACATGGAGCGCACCGAGGTCCTGTGCGCCCATTGCGATGGGCACCTGGGGCATGTTTTCAATGATGGGCCGCAACCGACAGGGTTGCGTTACTGCGTCAACTCCGTGGCGCTCTATCTGAGGCCCTCGAAGGACGCGACTGATCGCCCCTGACATTCGGATATCAGGGGCGACCTGCCAGGATCACTCGCCAACACCTGCCGTGCAGCCGACGAGATCGAGCGATGGCGAGATGTTGCTGTAGGCGCCCTTGGCGCCGGTAAGGTAATCGGAGGTGGTTTGCAGCGGCGCGAGGTAAGCGTCGGCGTAGGCTCCTGCGAAGTCGAACCCTTCGACACCATCCCAGTTCGTGCACCAGATGCCATCGGCAGCCTCGAGCGAGACAGCCACCGAGCTCTCGGGGTTGCCCGGATCGAACATCTGCGCGTTCTCCTCGTCGGTCATGCCAAGCTGGCGTGATACGTCTGCGCCAAACCCGACCGTGCTCCCCTGGCGAGTGATCACGATGACCTGCTCGCAGCCAAGGTTCTTGAGGACCAACGAGGGCTCGAGATCTGACCAACCTCCCGTGGAGACGACCGTTTCAGAGATCTCGATCGCGCGCGCCAGCCCGGGCTCTGCTGGAGAGAGTGAGAGCGCCTCGCGATAAGGCTTTGGACCGAGCGACATGAACTTCTGCGTCTTGAGATCCTGATATCCCATCGGGTTCTTCTCGACGCGGTCGAGGTCTGCCTGCTGGCCCCAGTAGGCGATCTGAACATCATCATAGGAGACGTCGAAAGTGTACTCTCTGGCGTTGTTGTACTCGCTGCGCGCACTCTTGAACTGCTCGACGGCATCGCCAGTGATCACCGAGGTGGTCACGAGCGCGGGGAGGTACTTGCCGACGGGATCGTCGATGCGCGACGCGAAGCCTGCCTCGTTGGCGAGCAGC